ACATTTTGGACCGAATTTCAGCAAATATTTCTACACAACTAAACACTCTTCATGCATCTCTAGCACTTGTAATCAATTAAATTCATTGTATTCTAACATATTCTGATCCCAAACAACACTAGATAAGTAATTTAGTTCTTCAACGCAATGTTTCCGGGTTCTTAGCTCATTAGGGACCCAATTTCAACAAGTCTTTCTACACAGTTCTAAACACTCTTCATGCATCTCTAGCACTTGTAATCAATCAAAGTTATTGTATTCTAACATATTCTAACCCCAAATACACTAGATAAGTCATTTAGTTGTTCAACGCAATGGACCCAATTTCAACAAGTCTTTCTATACACTTCTAAACACTTTTCATGCATCTCTAAAACATGTAATTAATCTAATTTATTGTATTCTAACATATTCTAACTCCAAACAACACTAGACAACCCATTTACTGCTCCAAAGACATGTTTATGGATTCTTAGCCCATTTCGGACTAAATTTCAACAAGTCTTTCTACACACTTATAAACACTCTTCATACATCTCTAGCACTTGTAATTAATCAAAGTTATTGTATTCTCAACATTATAAAGGAGATTTATGGGGTATCTTAGCAAAATTAAGATTTAAATTTAAATCAAAAATCATAATTTTAGGTAAGATACATATCTTAGGTATCTTCTGCAAGATACTTTTGGAGGGTTAAGATAAGATACTTTTGGAGGGTTAAGATACGTACACGTGGCACATTTTGATTGGATACAAAGATAAATATATAAGGGGAAAAATTATCGCGATGCGAAACAACAATATCACACCACCATTTTTTTTTTGCCAACCAACGACCACCATCTTATATATGTTTTAATTTTTAAATTTTGCTATAATTATAAAATTTTCTCAAATTAAAAATTTTAATTTAATTTAGTTTTTAAATAATTTTATTTTCTTTCTAAGATCTCTAGATGAAAATGAACGAGATATGTATACTCAGTTTGATGTCACCGAATTTCAACAAGCGGAAACTGCAGAAAGTACACAAGTGGATTTCTTGTATGATACAAATATGCCTTCAAATCTCGTCTATCTGATGGCCGCTAAAACTCGACTTCGGGATCGAGTTAAGCATGAACAATTGAAGAACGATTTGTTCAAACATACTTGGAATAAATTTTCACGCAGTCAAGTTTAAATTTATTATAATTTATGTTATAATTTCTATCTTATATATGTTTTCAAATTCTATATTTGCAATAATAATAAAATTTTCTTAAATTACAAATTATAAATTTATTTAATTTAAAAAAAATATTTTTTTTCTAAGATACCCAACTTAAGATCCTAACAATAAACACATCTCAAAACTAAAATCTCTTAAACAACACTAGACTAGCCATTTAGTGGTTCAACGCAATGTTTCCGAGTTCTTCGCCCATTTGGGACCCAATTTCAACAAGTCTTTCTCCACACTTCTAAACTCTTTTCATGCATCTCTAAAACTTGTAATCAATCAAAGTTATTGTATTCTAACATATTCTAACCACAAAAAACAGTAGACAAGCCATTTAATGCTTAAAAGCAATGGTTTTGGGTTCTTAGCCCATTTTGGACCGAATTTCAGCAAGTCTTTCTACACACTTCTAAACACTCTTCATGCATCTATAGCACTTGTAAGTAATCAAAGTCATTGTATTCTAACATATTCTAACCCCAAACAATACTAGATAAGTCAATTAGTGGTTCAATGCAATGTTTCCGAGTTCTTAGCCCATTTGGGACCCAATTTCAACAAGTCTCTCTCCACACTTCTAACTACTCTTCATTTATCTCTAGCACTTGTAATCAATCAATTATTGTATTCTAACATATTCAGATCCCAAACAACACTAGATAAGTAATTTAGTGGTTCAACGCAATGTTTCCTGGTTCATAGCCCATTTGGGACCCAATTTCAACAAGTCTTTCTACACACTTCTAAACACTCTTCATGCATCTCTAGCACTTGTAATCAATCAAAGTTATTGTATTCTAACATATTCTAACCCCAA